TTGCGCGCTATGCAGATAAGGGTGAAGCTCAGCAAAGATACAGCCAACAGACCACATATCAACAGCTGGACCATACTTTGTTGCCCCAAGAAGCAACTCTGGAGGTCTGTACCATAAAGTAATAACACGGTTTGTAAGATTTGCATTATGATCATTCGAAAATGACCTAGCAAGCCCAAAATCAGCAAGCTTTAGGTTCCCCTCAGGTCTATGAGAAGATTAGAACCTTTGATATCACGATGAAGTACTTGATTAACATGGCAATAGTGAAGCCCAGTTAAGAGCTGCCTCATGTAGCACTTAATTTGAGGAACAGTTATGAAAATTAATAAAGGGCATAATAGAAGACAGTAAAAGAATGCCAAATAGAGAGGCAGATCCTAGACTTACTTCTATGATTGCACCCAGTGCCAATCCCATAGATGAGGAATTCGATTATCCAGACTTTCTGAATTTCATCATCTAAAATTCATGTGAATCGTGGTAAGTCCATAAATCTGCATGAAAACAAAAGTAGAACAGCTCAAAGACAACAAACCGCTGCCGCTAAGTCAACTCTCATGCGCCGGCTAGTCTGTGATGAGATGAGACTAGACTAAGAAACCGACCAAAATGGAATGGGGCTTCTTTCTATTCGAGCTATCTGCTAACTGCTCAGATTTTATATCCACTTTCTTATTTCACTTTATATGCAAATTCATGTGAATAATCACATTTCTAGCAAATTGTGTTGATTCTAGAAGATTGAGTCAAGCCAAAATACCAATTTGTTACAACATTCTCTGATCAAGGAGTATGCATTTCTGCATCCTCACCTCCACTTAGCACACTTCACCATACCGCCTTGTGTCCAATAGCCCAACTCCATAACCAGGTGGACTAAAAATCAAGACCAACACACTATCTGCATACATTTAAACCAATACATCTTCAATTAGAAATGACAATGAAGGAGGAAGCTTTTAGAAGAGGCATTCAGTAGCTATGTTGCAGACATAACACATGTATTTCCGTATTCTGATCAGACCTAAAGCTGTACACCTCTTCATCCCCCAATGGCTTGAATCCTACGAGGACATTCAATTTGAGTTCACATAAACAAATTAATGAAACTGCAGAAAGAGAATGAAGCTGAGTCCTCGCATAGGGAAAGTATAGAAGGAAAATGGTGTCCTTACCAGGCTTACCCCCGGATAATATGTTGCTTCCAACAGGCTCCGCACCAATTATTCAATGCACTCCAATTGATAACAGGAACATTTAAGAAAACATTCAGCTAATTTTTTTATCACACAATTCGAGTGAATCAACATTGTCATTTCAAATGGAAACTAAGTACAACTCAATGTTCATCGGAAAAATGAAAAGTCAAATTGAAAAGTAAAACTTCCAAAGTCTATGCTTCATCTTCCGACATGACACTCGTTGTAGCAGCGACACCAGGATCTACATACTCAAATGCTACAGGACGTAAATCATTACGAACCCAATTTTCATCTTCACTAGCTGGACCAGCGTTTTCCACCGAGAGTGATTGATCCGCATTTTTCGATTGATAAACTAATTCATCACCTAATTCATATGTGTCTCTAGGCTTTGTTCGAAGTGCCACATACCAATCAGGTTCCTGTGAATCTTTAATGTAAAATACAGGCCTAACTTGATCTGCAAAGACAAAAGGCTCATCACGTATATTAGACCCTGTGTGAATCAATCTTGAAAAATTCACCATAGTATATCCGTATGCATCTTTTTTCAACCCTCTTCCACGTTCCACGTCAACCCATTCACACTTAAATAGAGCTACTCTGAACCTTTCGAAGTAGTTCAACTCAATCATGTCAATTATCCGTCCATAATATAAAATTTCACCTTCTAAACTTGAGGTCTTTGTTGCTACAACAACGCCACTGTTTTGAGTTTTTCTTTCCTCTTCACGACAGTTTGCATGATATCTGACTCCCTTGGTGATGTAACCTTTAAATTGTCTAACCCCATAGTTCGGACCTCGGGCTAGCCCTTTCAGTTCAGCAGTAAATCGCGGATCATGCATCTCCTCTAGCCTAGCTACCTATATACTCACAGCAAAAAAAGGGAAATCAACAGCTACTAATTATGTTGGTATATCGAAAGGAATGTCAAACCTAATTGACGACATCGTATTACAGCGTACATGATAGAAGAAAAGCGAAAATAAAAATTATGTAACTTTTTTATTTAGGCAATGCTATATCTAGCTAAGTTCATAAGGACACAATTAAACGAAAGAAGGCACTCACCCGTCCTTTGAACCAATCAACAAAGGTGGAATGGTGGACTTTCTCAATTTCAATTAGACGAGAAGCATTATTTCTACGATTTCTGCTTGAAAGTTTCCTTTTAATCTCATCCTTATGCTCTCTGTCAATCCGATAAGCAAATATTATAATGAATTTCTAGTTAGTAATAAAAGGAAATTAAGACTAGCTTATAGGAGAAAAAGAGAACATACTCTATGTATGGGAGAACTTCCTTTGAGTTGTATAGCACATATCGGTGAGCCTGAACCCAAGAAGTAGGATCAAGGATAATATTTTCTACTTTTCCAATGGGATGACCCGAAGTAGTGTTCACAGGGGAATCTTCCGTTCTCAATAGATCCATGTCATCACTATTTCTTGCAGGTTTATTAAATCTTGTTCTGACTCCTTCAAAGTATCTAGAGCAAAATGTAATTGCTTCATTTGCAATGTACCATTGAGCAATTGAGGCTTCAGGATAAGCCTTGTTCCCAACATGAGCTTTGAGTGTCATCAAGTACCTATATTGAAAATACATTTTTCATAAGCAAATAATATATTTCATAGCTTAAAGAGTAGATGGAGTCCAAACATTTCAATGGAAAATCTCAGCTATGATAAGGGCTAGAATGCCAAAACAGAAACAGTAAACTGAAATTAAAACAACCCACCCAATTTCTTGATAAGAATTATCTTCAATGAGAATTTAACCACATAAAATCTAAGAGCATATATATATATATGTGTGTGTGTGTTGGTGATTAAAACTCAAAAGTTAATATCAAAGTACGTAAATTAAATGTGTACCTCTCTATTGGATACATCCATCGATATTGCACGGGTCCATTCCATTTGGCCTCTTCTACAAGATGTACGACCAAGTGGACCATGATAGTAAAAAATGATGGAGGAAATATCATCTCCATACGAGCCAATATTTCTCCAATCTCTACTTCCATCTCCTCAAGACGACTTACTTTAAGAACTTTAGAACTTAGTTCTCTAAAATAAGCACTCAAATCAATTAAGGCTCTAGCTACTCTATCTTTCAGACATCCCCTCACTGCTACTGGTAACAAATCATGTAGTAATACATGACAATCATGACTTTTCAAACCACTTATCTTCTTGTGTTTCACATCTACACAACGAGATATGTTGGAAGAATATCCATCAGGTACCTTCACATGTTTTAGCACACGAAGCATTTGTTTTTTCTCTGTCGAAGACATCTCAAAAAGAGCGGGGGCTGCTTCGTATTTCCCAGTAGGCAACTTAAATGGGTGAAGAGTGCGTCTTATACCCATTTCCTGCATATCAAAGCGAGCCTTCAAGTTATCCTTGGTTTTCCCTCGAACACTTAACAATGTGTCTAAAATGTTATCACATACATTCTTTTCAATGTGCATGACATCAAGGTTATGTCTAACTCGATTGTACTCCCAATAAGGAAGACGAAAAAATATGCTTTTCTTGTTGCACCCCTCCGTGATGTTTATGTTTGTACCATTTAGATCCCTTGTTGATCCATTAGAATCCCATAAATCACGAATGCAAGATCCGGTCATCCGAACAGGTGGTCCTCTCAACTCTTCAGTGCCATCAAAACATTTCTTATTTCTTCTCCATGAATGATCATAGCTTAAAAACCGACGATGCCCCAAAAAACAATATTTGTTACCATGCGTTAACCATTTTGACCAAGTATTGAAGCCACAGCATGGACATCCATAGCCTTTTTTCGTTCTCCAACCTGATAACATGCTATAAGCCGGAAAGTCATTTATAGTCCATAGCAACGATGCATGCAACTTGAAAGTAGTCTTCGCGTGAGCATCATATGTATCAACTCCTTTTTCCCATAAATGAATCAGCTCTTCAATAAAGGGCTCCAAGTAGATGTCTATCTTAGCTCCGGGTGATTTAGGTCCAGGAATGAGTAAGCACAAGAACAAAGAAGACTGTTTCATGCATAACCAGGGCGGCAAATTGTAGGCAGTTACAACCACTGGCCAACTGCTATGAGTGCTACTTAATGACCTAAAAGGGTTAAACCCATCAGTGGCCAGTCCTAGTCGAACATTGCGCGGCTCCTTAGCAAAGTCAGCATATCGACTATCAAAATCTTTCCATGCACGAGCATCCGCAGGGTGTCTCAAGTACCCATCGTCCCTGCGTTCATCAAAGTGCCACCTCATTAAAGAAGCCGTCTTTTTGCACATGAATAACCTTTGAAGTCTTGGAATCAGAGGAAACCAACGGAGTACTTTCACTCCCTTTCGAATCTTGTTTCTTTTTGAAGTCGATGAACTTTCAGTCTCTTCCTTGTATCTGTATGCATTACAGTGTAAGCATCTAGGCTCATCAATATGTTCTTTCCAGAACAGCATACAATCATTTGGACATGCATCGATTGTTTGGTAATCAAGACCCAATGCATCAATTAACTTTCTGACTTCGTAAGATGACTCTGGAAGTTTTTCCCCTTCAGGCAACGTCTCCCTCATTGTGGTCAGTAAGTCCTCAAAAGACTTATCACTCCATCCATACATACACTTCTTGTTGTATAACTCAAGGATAAATGAGAGTTTGCTATGCTTACGACATCCACTAAAAAGTTCCTCGTCAGATTCTTCCAATAAATCATGGAACCTTTTGGCATATTCATATGCCTCAGTTGGTTGGGTGCCATCATCAATAGTGGAGCTATCACCCCAATCATTTTCTACCCTGGATCTTGAATTTTCAATCTCATCATAACCAACAGCCATATCCTCAAGAAACTGTTGAACGCCGTGTTGCTCTTGTGCATCAACTTCTCTTAGTCCATCATCATTTTGGTGGGAATAACTAGAATCACTAGTTTGAGAGGTTGGATCTCGGTGGAAAATCCAATCTGTATACCCCGGCGAGAACCCATTTTCCAGTATATGAGAAGAAACAACACCTGGTGAGAACCGCTGCATGTTCACACACTTTTGACAAGGACAAGCAAATCTTCCATCTCTCGCGGAAGCTTTGGCAAAAAGAATAAAATTATAAAGCCCTTTCAAAAACTTCTCACTCAATCTATTAGGCTCATGTATCCAACTTCTATCCATTGTTCTCACAGGCCTACAAATTTAGAATCATGTTCGCAAGTCAAAAACTGGAATCTCAATGACCTAATAATAATAATAATGTATAAAAAGTGCAGCATTGATAGCTATATTATACGGAGCAATTGCGGTGCATGAAAACTTTACAACACATATGAGAGATGCCACTGCCACAAGCCTAAACTACACACAACCTATCCATTGCATAATATATATATATATATATATATATATATATATATATATATATATATATATATATATATATATATATATATATTGTTGAAGATTCAAATGCAAATATGTAGCGTTCCTCTTTGGACTTCAGGGCTGGACAGTTCTGTAACCTAGCACTAGAGTGCAGAGATCAAAGCATGCATTGCATTCATCACAAGGTCCAGAAAAGGTCACACTGACTGTAGGGAATAGATTCACGAAATTAGATGCTAAATGATAAAACTCATTCCCCTACTTGACAGTATATGCATCTATACATGCAGGTTGGATAGATGACCTAATTAAGGCAATCAATTCACTGGAGATACTTGAGCTAAGAATCTAAGGGTTACCTTGTACTGGGATCTTCAAGTTCCTTCTTTATCTCCTCTAAGAAGCTGACTTGTGTGGTAAGGGTTACAACTGTTAATTAGTGCGAGGATAAGTCAGCAACTTCATACCTATGAGGTAGAAGTGAAGTGATGATAAAATAAGACGAGGATGTACCATACATATATACCTTGGACTTACGTAGAAGATGTTGAGGCAATAATTAATGAGATCCCTGAGCACAAATCCAAGCAAATCAATAAGAAGCTTAAGATGAAGTTTATGCACTCCGTATATAAGCGGGGACAACTTCCAGATACCATCTCCACTTTCTCCCAAGGAAATGACTACTGCAAAAGAAACTCTGCCCCATGTAATAATCAAAGACAGCACACACAATCGAATTTATCAAGCATGTCTTCCACTCTCTCTAATGGCTTCCATCGCTTCTTTAGATCTCGACAATCTTCAGCACTTGATTTCACCAAGACATGCAACCCATCCATATAAACAATCAATTTTCTGGGACCCGAGAGATACAGCAAAAGCATTAATCAGTTCGTACATCCAATCTGTAATTGACAGAATCCCCAGTTCATTTAATTGGTCCAAAACCTTCCTCTATCTTATTCGATAAGTCCACATTCTTCTCCTCAAGCACGTCAAATCCCAAAGGCTAGACTCAGATCTCAACGGAGAAAGAAAATATATCTAGTATTGATCATCAACCAAACAGGGAACTGGGAACAGGTTTTGATCATTCAACTTTCACTAGCAAGCAAAACTTAGGAACTGCGTTATCAGAAGAGAAACAATGGGTGGATGTTATGGTTCGGAGAAGCGATATCCACTAACTTACTAGATGTTTACCTTTCTTGGCAGGAGGCTTGCAACAACAAAGAGCGGTATCCTGATACACCAGAAATCAAAACGGATAATGAGATTAGCGGAACGCGTTGTCAATAGAAGACGAAAGAACAAGGAGGGAGCGGCTCTAGAGCTCTACCCCCAGTAGCGGGCTCTATTCTCCAGAGCTCTCCTTCGCCGCCAAGAAAAATATCGCTCACGCCCGCTGCTCCATCCGTATCGTCTCTGGCAGATCTATAGCTTCCAAATACACAGGGATTTGCTTCTCTTCTCGCTCAAAAAGTCACTCTTGATTGATTTCTCTTTCTTTTTCTGTTTTAGTTTAGGTGATTTCTCCCGCTCCAGTTACGTTGCTCTATGCGGATAAGGGAGGTGAAGCGCCAATCAAAGTGCAGAAAAGAAATTAAGAGACCCACAAGGTTTCCCGCCGGTTTCTTTCTTTCCTATTTGAGTATTTTCCAATGTTGCGATTCCGCCATTCCGGGCCGGATTCAGTTACCCGCAAGGGCCGCAAGTCCGCAACGCCAATAAATTATCTCTATCTTCTCTTCTCTCTATCTTTCTCTAAATCTTATCTTATCTCTTACAATAAGCGTTTTCAGAAAAAGCCTCATGCCACGTAGGCTTTCAAGTTCTCCCCGCGTTTCTCGCTTCCGTCCTTTTATTTTTTTAATTTTCCGTCAGTTTTGGTTGTTTCTACGGTTAGATATACATTTCCTTCCTGTTTTTTTTGTTTTTTTGTTTTTGCAATATTCCTTCCAATTTTTCATTGTGCCATATTTATCCTTTTATTTTCTTTCCGTTCAGGTTTTGTATTTTCTTCATATATAATGTTGCTTAATTTTTTCAAGCCGTTCAATAATTCCTTCAGTTTTTTTATGTCTGTAAAATAATTCATTATCAGATGCTTATACTATACTTTCTAGGTCACGTAGTGTAAAAGTTTAAACTAGTTAATCAACATTTTTAAAATATATTATTAAAAAGACACAATTTTTATATCAACTACTAAATGGAAACATATTTTAGATTCATCCTAATTTTATGGTGTTATTTCTTAAAATAATAGAATTAAAGGTCTTGTTTATTGATAATTTTTCTATATAACAATAATCATTGATTAATATATATTGATCATATAATTCAGAATACAAGAGTTGTTTTTAATCTAAACATATAATTATATTTTTCTTAAGAAAAACATACAATTAGATTCACCCAAATTTTATGGTTATATTGCATACGGGTTAAGGGTTTTAATTATTGAAAGTTTGTTTATAGATCAAGAACCATTTATCAATGTAAGTGTGACTTAGAGAATCCAACCATCATTAGTGGGATGCTAATAAAATTTGATGAAGTGATTTAGTGTGAGAACGTTAGAGCATCCAACCATCATTAGTGGGTTAATGGTTTTAATAACAGTTGAGTTATTTTTAATATGGATATGTGATATATTTGGTTAAGAGTCAAAATTTGACTAAGAGTTGAATATATTCTTTACGTAAGTGACTATAGATTATTTTTTTATAACTATATTATTAACTATGCTCGAGTGTGTGGTTGATAAATTAGTCTAGCCTACACTTAATCACCTTTTCATGAATCTGCATTAAAGTTAGATACAAGAAATAAGAATTATTTTGTAAACATATTTAACAATATATAAATTATTTTGGAATTTCCAGTAGATACGAATATAAAAATATGCATATTATAATGAATGATAAAACAAACATATCCCGGCCAACCGGTCGGGTTCAAAGCTAGTACTATAAAGGGTTTTCTCCCAAAACTCTTCACCGCATCTTGCGGAATTTCCTTTTCTTTTTTCTTTTTCGGCATTTGCAAACAGCAGCGGCCAATTTTTATATATTTTATTATTTTCTTTTACATGCTTTATTTTATTTGGTAAGTACATGCTTTATTTGTTAAAAGACACGTGTTTGTCCAATTTGCATGTTCTCGAGTATTTTCTCATTGTATTTTGTTTGGCCGATTAAAATTAATAATTGTGAAATTGTATCGGAGGTTATACACAAATAAGTCAGTAATTTTCTTAAACAAAATGACAGTAATAAGATATTTTGTATAAAAATTATGGTTTGACTGTGATTCAATTGTTGTTTTATACCGTTTTAAACCACCTATCATTTAGAAACTGATATTCAATATTTTCGCTCCAACCGGGTAGTGCGGTGGGTTTCTAAAACATTGATGAAAATACACTCGGTACTATTTTTTCAAGAATTCTTAGTTGAACCTTAGCTCAAATTTCGCACTTTATATGATTATAAAAAAAATAAAAATATCACACTTTATAAACTGATCTATATTGTCTGGAAGATGATTTTTCAGTGTGTTTATTTCATGAATCTTCGCGTACATACAATGCATCGAGACTTTATATTATCACAATTTCAACATGAGCATTTTTTTGGTAAAACTTCATTGTGGGTATGAGTCAAACTTAGATAATAGAGGAACTATCATGAGATTGATGCCCAATATTGAAATTTTTTAACAATAGTATGTTATAAATTTTGCCAAAACTTAATTTATTTTATTGCAAGTTTAATGTCTTCACTTTGAAACGTGTATTTCATACGTCAATAACTAAACATTATTAAAAAATTATTGAGTGTATAATTGATAAATTGCCTGATACATACAAGTTATTATAAAACAAATGTGATCTCATTAGTTTAATTTTTGTTTTTTAGTTTATGGTAAGGATTCATTTTTCAGTAAGGACTCTTTTAATTATATAATGAGTAAATTTTTTCATGTAGCGGATAGTGCTTTTCAGTTATAAAAAAAATGAAACATGTTAGCATTGGAATATTTATTACTTTTTTTTTGGTAATTAACTCCTTCATAGTAAAAAGAACATGGTATTTTTTTCATCTTAAATAATAGTAAATCTAATAGACTTAAAAAGGTGGCTTGGGCAATTATAATGATTAAAAGTATTAGTTTTCTTCACTTTGACAAATTATTTTTTAGTTCATTTGTCTTTTGCGATAATACGAACAAAACAATTTTCAACGCATGAACAGCGCTGGCCAATTCTGTAGTTAGTATTAACTAATAAGTAAAGAAAATGATATTTCTGGATTTGGGTTAATGGTTTCGACAAAAGTTAATACAAAAATGAGGACGGAAAATGGATAAGTAAACAAATAAAAGACTTTAATTTGAGAAATCAAACGGTGCATGACTCGATGATCAATAATATAATATAATGGGTAATTATAAATACAGTTGGCTAGTTGACTGCAAAGTGGATAGGATAGGTGAAATTAAGATGAATTTAGATTAAATAAATGTATGGGACAAGCGAGCAGCGAGACGAGTCGACTGACGGAGTGGCCGACTTGTGGATGGTTGTGGTCCATCAATGAGCAGCAGCTTCATAACCATAACCACCCGTGCCGTGAGGCACCATCAACTAAGCCACGATAACAGAAGAGGTGGAATTAATCCTTGGCGCTTTTCCCAAGAAACGCCTCAATGACTTCCTGGAGTAATCCGGAGCCAGATGTATCATCATCGGCCCAATCAACTCCAAACGGGGGAGGAGATGGGGCAGTAGGGATCCAATTTGGCGTGAAAGATGGGGTTTCCAAGTCCGCGGTATCGGCGGCTGAGACTGAGAGAGAGGTTTCCTCGGCCCAATCAACTCCAACTGGGGGAGGAGATGGTGCATTAATAGGGATCCAATTTGGCGTCAGAGATGGGGTTTCCAAGTCCAGGGTATCGGCGCCAAAGAGAGCGGTTTCCAAGTCCCAATCAACTCCAACTGGGGGAGGAGATGGTGCAATAATAGGGATCCAATTTGGCGTCAGAGATGGGGTTTCCAAGTCCACAGTATCGGCGCCAGAGAGAGCGGTTTCCTCGGCCCAAGAAACTCCAACCGGGGGAGGAGATGGGGCAGTAGGGATCCAGTTTGGCGTCAAAGATGGGACTGGGGTGGCGGAGTGCTGATCGATGGGTTGCTGGCGCTGCCTTGGGTTCCCGACGGAGAAGATATGTTTATACTTTTGGTGGTTACGACGGCACTTGGGCTGAGGACGTGAGGAAGGGATGAAATAATCATGGGCCGGTGGATGGAAGGATCGACAGAGGATGTTGGTTTTGGCCTTACAACCCTGCATGTATATAGCAGCTCGGTCATAAGCACAAGCCGCTTCTTCGGGAGTGTCGAAGGTGCCAAGCCAAAACCTGCGCTTGGCAATTGGATCTCTTATCTCAGCCGCGTAAGTGCCCCATGGCCTCCTCCTCACGCCACGGTACCCCGCTCTCCCATGCTTTCTCCTCAAGAGGGAGCAGTTTTGGTGGATTGGATGAAATGTAGGGTGTTCCATTTCCATGGAAGTATGATCATGTGGTGATTTTTTATCTTGTATCTTTGCCCCCTCGGTTCTATATTATATATATATGCAAAATGAGTCCGACAAGCAGTTAATTAGCTAGCTAGGGAAGGGAAGTGAGCGATTGAAATTTCTGGACTGACGCCGGCTTTTCCTTTCCTTTCCTTTCCTTTCCGGTGCAGCTGCAGCCCTTTCCAATCAATTTATTGTCTTCAAGACATGAAAGATTCATCATCTGATATTGCCTATTTTTTATATAATAATAAAGACATGAAAAGATCGGCGCCAGTTGCCTTGGCTACCTACATTATATTAGCTACATTATTTTTTTATCTTTCCCTTCCCCCGTTCCCCGCTCGTGTTATTTGCCTGAATCCTTTATTTTCATTTTCGGGGTTCCTGCTTGCTTGTTTTGTCCTCTCCTGCTCGAGGTTTTGATGGCCTGAGCTGCTAGTGTATCTCTTAAATTATCTCTTAAGTGATCCATTAAGGTGATGAATCTTACAGTGATTGTGGTTGCTTCATCTTTTATAGCTGGCTTTATAGTATCATAGGTCGCACTATATAAGATGCAAGTTATGTGGAGTATTACCTAATCAATATAAAAAAAAATAAGTTCATAAAAAAGGATAGAAAATTACGTTAGATAAGTGATAAGTTATTATAAAAGTGTCATTTATTCATTCAAATTATACAAATACAAGATTTTAGTCAAGAAAGAAAACCATTCAGTTTTTTGGGGAAAAAATCATTCACTAATTGATTCTCAAGCTTTATATGGAGATATATAGTTCGTTATAGTTTCAATCCATAAAGTATGTTTATGAATATGATATATGTTGACTTAATATAGATATTGTATCTCGTTTAGCGAGGATCCAAGAGTGAGTCCCTATTGTATCATTTTGCTTTTTTTTTTTTTTTTAGAGCTCATATCATTTTGCTTTTTGAATTTTCAATAGAGTTGTATACATAATGACAAAAAACTATGTTAATGATAATTCAATTGCATACAAACTACTGGTAAATCATATCTGAAGCCTCCTTTGATATATACCCACCGCAGTTATTATGGTAAATAATGAAGCCGGGCAGGCATGACTCGAAACAATAAATAGAATGATCAATTAAAAATGCAGTTGGCTAGTTGAGTACCAATGT